TGCGCCCGGGCCTGGCACCTGCCGCATGCCCGGGGGCGGGGCCAGCCCAGATTGCTCCGCGGGTGCACATAAATGGCCCGCGGGCACCGCATTGGGGACCACTGGTCTAAACGACATCCAGTTCTGTGGACAAAACAAGCCGCTTTGTCGACACGACAGTGTAGACGCAAAGGACAGTGTCGATGCAGTAACGCCTTCTGTCGACAGGACTCTGTCGACAAGAGGCGTTATTCCTTGCAGAATGAGGTTTACCGCCGTCGACAAAACTGCCGTCGACAGAACGTCGACAGAACTCAGCGGCAGTGTAGACACAGGTATAGCTTTGTCGACAGAAGTCCACTTTTGTTGACAAAAACCTGTCGTCTAGACACACCCTTAGGGTACGTCTAGACTACAGGCTTCTGTTGACAGAAGTTTTGTCGACAAAGAGCGTCTAGACTACATTGAGTTCTGTCGACAAAGCAAGCTGCTTTGTCGACATGGTAGTGTAGACGCAAAGGACAGTTTACATGCAATAACACCTTCTGTCGACAGAAACTCTGTCGACAGAAGGCGTTATGCCTCGTAAAATGAGGTTTACCAGCGTCGACAAAACTGCTGAGTTCTGTCGACGTTATGTCGACAGAACTCAGCGGTAGTGTGGACGCAGGTATAGTTTTGTCGACAGAAGTCCACTTTTGTCGACAAAACCCTGGCGGTCTAGACACACCCGTAGTGTGGTGAGCTCTGTTTGAAGTTCTTCACAGTCTGCTTTGGGCTTAGCTACCTTGAGCAGTTTGGTCTCATCTGCAAATTTTGCCACCTCGCAATTTACTCCTTTCTCCAGATCATTTATAAATAAATTGAATTGGATTGGTCCCAGTATGGACCCTTGGGGAACTGACCATTTCAGAAGCAGGAGAAGAACCGTGGGTTCCAGATCCCCAGGCCACCGAAGAAAGAAATCTGACCATTTATTCCTACCCTTTGTTTCCTGTCTTTTAACCAGTTAGCAATCCGTGAAAGGACCTTCCCTTTTATCCCATGACAACTTATTTTACTTTAGAGCCTTTGGTGAGGGACCTTGTTAAAGGCTTTCTGGAAATCTAAGTACACTAGATCCACTGGATCCCCCTTGTCCACATGTTTGTTGACTCCCTCAAAGACCTCTAGCAGATTAATAAGGCATGATTTCCCCTTACAGAAACTGTCTCTTCCCCAACAAATTATTTTCATCTATGGGTCTGGTCGGACAATTCGGTTCTTTGCTGTAGTTTCAGCCAGTTTCCCCTGGTTTTGACATTAGATTTACTGGCTTGATTTCACACCTGATTTCCCTCCCTGAGTAGGACTTCCCATCCCCAAACCGGACCTGATCGCCCGCCTGGAAGCAGGAGAAGAGCCGTGGGTTCCAGATCCCCAGACCACCGAAGAAAGAAATATCCCAAGAGGCAGCGAGACAGGTGAGGAGTCAGGGACGCTGACACAGAAACCATCCAGGAAATGTGGGGAGAGCTGAAAATTCCCAGAATGGGGGGTGATGCCCTCAAATTCTGCCTCCTCTTAGCCAACTCAGGCTGTGGCCCTCAGGGGCACCTCTAGACTAGGTTTTAATTTCAAAAGACGATATGCAAATTCTGCAGGAATTTGCATGTGTTCTTCTGATCTCACTTTCGAAAGCAGAGCTTTCAGAAGTGAAAGTAGTCAAGACACTTTTTTTTTTGGCAACCCCCCTCCTTTTCAAAAAGCAGCGTAAACCTCATTTTTAAAGGAAAAGTGGCTTTTTGAAAAAAAGGTAGGGGTTCCCGAAAAAAACCGCATCTTGACTGCTTTGACTTTCGAAAACACTGCTTTCAAAAGTGAGCTCAGAAGACAACATGCAAATTCTCGCAGAATTTGCATATCCTCTTTTGACACTTTTTAGCATAGTCTAGATGAGCCCTTATAGCAGAGGAGCAACAAAAACTGTCTGTCCAAGAAGACTTCTCTTTCAAGGATGAATAAAACTGTAGTGGGAACCTTTGAGATACTCCATTCACCATCCACCACTTCAGGAATTGCTACACAGAGTTGATTCTGCATGTGCATATGTATGCTTCATATTTGGGTGTGTGCATAAAGCTATTTATGCCTATTTAGCTTGTATATGTGGAGTTGATATCCTTGTGATAAACTTATCATGCATGTTTGACTGCCGTATCTACCTTGTACGCATTATTACATAAGGCAGTTTGCTCCAGGACTATTTCTAATACCAAAGTAAGCATACGGTACCAGTTCCAATGTAGATGTCATTACAGTACTGTAGTTGCTGTGAGGCAGGAGGGGTTGCAGAAAAAAACCCTTTTTCGAAAAACTGCGTCAACCTCCTTTTTTTAGAGAGAAAATTTTTTTCTGAAAAAGGAGTTGTTGTTTTTCCAGAAACACCCCTACCCCGCGTCCAGACTGCTTTCCCTTTCGAAAAAGCGATTCGGAAGAAGATATGCAAATTAGCGCCACATTTGCATATCTCCATTTGAAAAAACCCCGTAGTCTAGACGTACCCCTAGGTGTCATATCGGTATGGCAGATATCACCCTTGAGTTCTCAGCAGCATTCTCCGTATGCTCTGTACTTGTGTGACTGCTCAGGAGAGATTCAAATGACACCCAGGTGACTAGCAGAGTTCCCACAGTTGGTTTTTTTTCCACGGGTGGTGCACATACTTGGTGCACATAAAAAAAAATCCGCACATGAATGAGAAAAATTGGAGGGAAGATTGGTTCCCATCCATCCAGTGAGCTGTCAGGAGTTTTCTCTCTCGGTTTCCCTCTGAGTGTTTGGATGGGATGTGGAGGCAGAATCCAATTTCTCAGTGTGTGTCTAGAGCAGTGTTTCCCAAAGGGTGTTCCACGGAACCCCAGAGTTCCGTGACGTGAAAATAATTCCCGCGAAAAAATTTCATTCCAATAACATTTTATGATGTAAAAAAAAGAATGAATATTATGTGATTTTTGTTTTTAAATATGTGCAATTAAACTAAATGTTGATCTCATGACCTTGTTTAGTATTTGTTTATTATTATCCTTAATTATTTGTGGCCTACTTTTTCAGCTCCGTACATTAGACGGTTATTAGGGGTTCTGCAAAATTATTTCGAGTCTGAAAGGGTTCTGTGGCCAAATAAAATTGGAAAACATTGGTCTAGTCTACAGGTTATTTTTTTTTTTTAGCTTCACCTGTGTCTATACTGCTGCCACGTTCTTTCGCAATTACAGTAATTCCTCATTTAACACTTTAGGTACGTTTCTGAAAATGTTTGTGCTAAGCAAAAACGTGCTATGCGGGGGTCAATTTTCCCATTCAAAATAATGGAAAAAGTGGGGGTTGCGTTTCAGATGGTGGTGGCAAAGTCAATTTTTTGTTGGGTCATCAACGTCAGCATTACATACCGAGCAACACAAGATAACTAGGAACACAAGTTGCCACGGTTTGTTAAAAAACAAAGATAAATGCGTGAATGAGTGTAGCACTGTGACCACGTGTATTCATCCGCTCATGCATATTACCACTGTTTTCACCAATTTATACCTCCGCGCCAAGTAGTCCTCCTCTTGATTATTTTTGTATTATTTCGGGGGCAGTCGTGTTATTCGAAAAACATTCCCTAAAAAAAATCATGCTATTGTGAAAAAGTGTTAAGTAGGCATGTGTTAAACAAGTAATTACTGTAAATCGAAAGAACGCGGCCATTTTTTCAACCGTGGAAAACCTCATTTTACAAGGAATAACGCCTTTTTTTGAAAGCGCTCTTTCGAAAAAGGCGTTATTGAACGCAAACAGTGCTTTTTTGAAAGAGAGCATCCAAACAGCCTGGGTGCTCTCTTTTTCAAAAATACGGCTCTTTTTCGAAAATACTGGTTGCTGTCTAGACGATATCTTTCGAAAGAAGCTTTTTCACAAGATTAAAGCCTCTTTTGAAAGAGGCTTGTAGTAAAGACGTAGCCTCAGTCTTCCCAACAGCTATTATGTTGTATTTTCCCTCTTGACTGGTTCTCTTCCAGTTGTTTCTACCAACTCGGGCTTCTCTCTCTCTCTCTCTGTCCCAGCAGGCAATGAGACCAAAAATGAGAATGTGGAGGGGGTTCTGCAGCAGCAAGGCCTTCAGCCTATGGAACTGCAGGAGAACTTTTTGAGACGAGCTGGTGGAAATTCTCCCCGGCGTTTGGAACAGCAAAAAGCCTGGTATAATCCGCAGAAGGCAAAGGGGATGATGGGAAACCACTCAAGGAAGAAAGCGCATGAATCCACTGAATATAGGGGAGAAGGCAAAAATCCCAAGGGAACTGCAGCCCGGCCAACAAACCATACGACTCAGAAAATCTATAAATGCTTGGAATGTGGGAAAAACTTCAGTCGGAACTCAAATCTTGCCACCCATCAGAGGCTGCACACGGGCGAAAAACCGTATAAATGCCGTGAGTGTGGAATGAGCTTCAGACATCTCTCCGGCCTTATTAATCATAGGAGAACTCACCCTGGAGGGGGACCGTATCAGTGCCCGGAGTGTGGGAAAAGTTTCAGGGTACCCTCAGCCCTTCTCATCCACGAGAGAAGTCACACGGGAGAGAAACCCTACCAGTGCTTGGACTGCGGGAAACGCTTCACGTGGAGCTCCAATCTTACCACCCATCAAACACTGCACACGGGAGAGAGAGCGTATCAATGCCCGGAGTGTGGGAAAAGCTTCCGCCAGCTCTCGGGTCTCACGAGTCACAGCCGACTCCACACCGGCGAGGGCCGGTATAAATGCCTCGAGTGCGGGAAAAGTTTCAACGCGCCGTCCGCCCTTACGACCCATCGAAGGACCCACACGGGAGAGAAACCCTATCCGTGCAAGGACTGCGGAAAGAGCTTCACTCAGCGCTCACACCTCATTAGCCATGAACGAATCCACCGGCAAGAGGGGCCGTATAAATGCCTGGAGTGTGGGAAAATTTTCAGTGCCCCCTCCACCCTGGTTATCCATCAGAGGACTCACACGGGCGAGAAACCCTATAAATGCTTGCACTGCGGGAAAAGCTTCAGCCAGCGCTCCGTCCTTATTACCCACGAGAGGATGCACACGGGAGAGGGACCCTATAAGTGCCCAGAGTGCGGGAAAAGTTTTGGGGCACCGTCAGCTCTTCTTATCCACCGGAGGACCCACACGGGAGAGAAACCCTACCAATGCTCGGAGTGTGGGAAGAGCTTCAGTCAGCGCTCAGCTCTTCTTAGCCACGGACGAATCCACACAGGGGAGAGACCCTATACATGCGCGGAGTGTGGGAAAAGCTTCAGTCAACACTCAGTCCTTATTAGCCACAGGAAAATGCACACTGGAGATGGGCTACATACATGCTTTGAGTGCGGGAAAAGTTTCAGCGTCCCATCGGCCCTGATTGTTCATCAGAGAACCCACACGGGAGAGAAACCCTATAAATGCTTGGATTGTGGGAAAAGCTTCAGCCAGCGCTCGGTCCTTATTAATCATGGAAGAATCCATACGGGAGAGAGGCCCTATAAATGTGCGGACTGTGGGAAAAGCTTCAGTCGGCGCTCAAATCTTATTACCCATCAGAGACTGCACACGGGAGAGAGACCCTATACGTGCGCAGACTGTGGGAAAAGTTTCAGTCGGAGCTCAAACCTTATTGCCCATCGGGCGCTGCACACAGGAGACAAACCCTATAAATGCCCCGAGTGTGAGAAAAGCTTCAGTCAACGCTCGGGCCTTATTAACCATCGGAGAATCCATACGGGCGAGAGACCTTATAAATGTTTGGACTGTGGGAAAAACTTCAGTAGGCGCTCAACTCTTTATTCCCACTGCCGATCACACAGGAGGCAGACCCTGTAAAAACATCCTGAGAGTGAGAAACCCACGTAGGAGAAAAACCCTGCACGTTCCTCCACCGTGGGAAGATTTCAGAAAGAGCTTGAACTAGGACTGTCAATGAATCTTGCTTTACTCAAGTGATTAACTCAGAATGACTCAATTTAAAAAATGTCAAGTATCAGAGGGGTAGCCGTGTTAGTCTGAATCTGCAGACATGCATCTGACGAAGTGGGTCTTTGCCCACGAAAGCTTATGCTCCTACACTTCAGTTAGTCTATCAGGTGCCACAGGACTCCTCGCCGAATTTAAAAAATGAATCACGATTATTAGAGTTTTGATCCCACTGTTAAGCAATAATAGAATACCAATTTACATTTATTCTAAACATGTTAGGTGTTTTTCTGTGTTTTCAAATATATCGATTACAACACAGCACACAAAGTATATTCTCTTTATAGTATTTTATGAGACATATTTGCATTGTAAAAAAAGGTATTTTTAATTCACTTAATACAAGTAGTGTAATGCAAACTCTTATGGTGTAACACAGAATTGTTTGTGGGAGGTTACTGTTACGTAGCTAAACAATAAAACAATGTAGAAATGTCAAGCTTACAAAATCATTACATCCTACTTCTTGTTCAGCCAATCCCTAAGGGAATTGCAGATTTTTCTTCCTCAGAATTACAACATTTAGCCTTGATCTAACGCCCTTGGCTACGTCTACACTGGCAGCTTCTTGTGCAAGAACTTTTTTGTGGAAGAGTTCTTGTGCAAAAACTCTTCCAGAAGAGAGCGTCTACACTGGCATATGCCTTTGCGCAAGAGCATCCGTGCCAGTGTAGACGCTGTCTTGCGCAAGAAAGTTCCGATGGCCATTTTAACCATAGGGCTTTCTTGCGCAAAAAAATTCATGTTGCCTGTCTATATTGGCCTCTTGCTCAAGAACAGTTGCATAAAAGGGCATCTTCCTGAGCGGGAGCATCAGAGTTCTGGCGCAAAAAGCACTGATTTCATACATTAAGAACGTCAGTTTGCTTGCGCAAGAACACGCAACCAGTGTAGACAGGGAGCGAGTTTTTGCACAAGAGCAGCTGCTTTTGCACAAGATCGTGCCAGTGTCGACACAGCCACTTCTTTTGAAATCGATACTCCTGCTTTCCTCGAGGACTAACGCTAATTTCAAAATGGTTATTTCAAAATACCGACAATGTGGACGCGCTGGTGCTGCTATTTCGAAATAACGAATCCCCAGGGTAATTCAGACTAATTACTCCCCAGCGCGTCTTAGGGCTCTAAGTCCAGGCTGTACGTTCACATGATCGGAGCCTGCCTGGGGCGAACGTGGAGAGTTTCCCGTAGTAAGGACCCGCTAATTTGAATGTGTGGAAGCAGGAGTTCTGAAATGGAACTTTGCTGTTTCAAAATCGTTTCCTCGTGTCACCATGGCCCCACCCCGAGGCCACAGCAGGGCCCGCCTGCCGGAGCACGCACCACTGCACTGAAATCAGAGGGCGCTGGCTGCAAATAATATTTCTATAGAAAAATAAACTAAAAAGAGGGTATTGCAGCCGAGATTTCTATGGAGAGGAAGGCAGGATGTCAGGTTGAGGACAGAGTGGTGTTAATTGACGCAGGAGCAGGCAGAGAGAGGCCCTATCTTGATCACCAATGATCTGTAGCTAGACAGTTGAAAATCGCAGGAATGAATGCAGCCAGAAGTTCAAAGGATGTTACAAAATGGCATGGATCTAATAAGATTGGTGAATTCATTCTGTGGTTTTTTTCACCTCCGAGGCTACGTCTACACTGGCACCCTTTTCCGGAAATGCTTAAAATGGAACAGTTTTCCGTTATAAGTATTTCCGGAAAAAGCGCGTCTACATTGGCAGGATGCTTTTCCGGAAAAGCACTTTTTCCGGAAAAGCGTCCGTGGCCAATGTAGACGCGCTGCTCCGCAAAAAAAGCCCCGATCGTCATTTTCGCGATCGGGGCTTTTTTGCGGAAAAGACTACTGCGCTGTCTACACTGGTCCTTTTCCAGAACAGGTTTTCCGGAAAAAGGACTTTTGCCCGAGCGGGAGCAGCATAGTTTTTCCGGAAAAACACTGACAATTTTACAGATCGTCAGTGCTTTTCTGGAAATTCAAGGGGCCAGTGTAGACAGCTGGCAACTTATTCCGGAAAAACGGCTGGTTTTTAAGTGGCCCAGTGTAGACACAGCCTGAATGTTCGAAGGCGCAGCGCAGTATAGGGCGTAGGAGCCCTACGTTCTAGAGAGAGCTGGTCAAGGCAAAAGAGCGAGGGAGCAGCCGCATGTGTGTGTCTGCGCTGGTTATGACACGTGGACATTGTCACGGAACAGTCGTCATGAATTGGGTTCGGAGAAATGTTTTGGCTTGCTTGAAGTGCCGCAGTTCAAGGGTGTACACACATGTCAGCACCTCACGTGTCCATATGGACGTGAGGGAAGAATGAAGGCCGCTCCCTCCATTTCTAAAACTAGATTTTTAATAAACAGCTGGTGAAACATAAAGGAAAAGTTGTTGGGCCGACGCCTGCTTACAACGACGACAGGTTCTAAATTAGAAGACACTTTTTCTGTCGTGTTTGACTCTGACAGGAGTGAAAGTCCCCTTCTCCCTCCGCCATCCAGCACCCTCTGCTAGCCTTGGGGCAGGGGATGGGGCAAGGTGAGGGCAGCAAACCCCACCCGCTGTCTGGCCGCCTTTCGTAGCAGTTTCACTCTATGCTGGGGTGGAGCAAACCCAGGCCAGGGGGGAAGGGCAGCCTGGGCTCCTTCCAGCCAGGGGGTCCCATTCACCCAGCCTGGGCTGGGCTGCCAGGTGTCTGGTTTTCCACTGGAGGCTCCAGTTGCAAAGGGAAAGGGGCAGCGACCGGTTGGCACAAAACATCCAGGTACCTGCAGTAACCGGCTCCCATCTCTGGGGGGAGGAACAGCAGCGCTGGGAGGGGCCAGTTGGTGCCGGGGGGTCACTGTCAGGGGCAGGGATCCCCTCCCGCCTGGGCCGGCACTGGGCTGATGGTCAGGGGAGCCGCGTTGGTGCCCCCGGCGTTGGAACAGGGACAGAAGAAAGGGCGCAGCGTCCCGGAGAAGGTGCCGGTGAAGGTGAAGAGATGGGACCTGTCAGTCACATTGTAAAACGAGACCTCGCCCGCCTCGTAGTCCAGGAAAACCCCCACCCGGCTGGGCCTGGCGCTCACGGGGAGGGGGGTGGAGGGGGAGGGCTTGTATCCACCATCCCTCAAGAACATGACCCAGTATCCCTTCTTAGGTGAGTATGTGACCTTCCCCTTCCTGCTCACAGATTCCCTGCAGACCCCCAGGTCCCAGGCAGTCTTGTCCCCCACTTCCACCTCCCAGTAACGCCTCCCGCCCGCGAACCCCTCGGTACCCAGGACAATGGGATATTTCTCAAATCTCTCGGGGTTGTCGGGCAGATCCTGGCGCGTGTCTCCGTGTCTCACACGTTTCCGATCCTCAGACAGGACCAGGTAGCGATTTGCCGTGTCTGGATCCAGCGTCACGTCCACTGGGGAGAGAGTCACA